TTAAAGTTGTTTAAGTTAAAACAAGTTGATTCATATAGTTTTTTAATGTTCATGCTTATAGAAAATGTTGAGAAGCCTAAATTGCCCAAACTAGTTTGGGCTTTGAGAAAACAGTTTGGACCAGAAACCTTAATCTAGAAGCAAAGAAAAGAATGGACTTAGATGTAATAATGGATGATAAAGATGATATAGATAATTTACAATCAAGAAAAAAAAAAAAGGACTTATCTATTATAGAAGAACAATTTGATAATGCTGAAAAACATATAATAACAAGATATTTGAGAAAATTTGATAAAATTCTTGTGTTGAAACTCTAATGATTTATTTATGTGCCATTTATTTATATAGGAATTACTTCCCACTTGGCTGGGCTTTGAAAGAAAATCAGGAATTTGGTGGAAAACATATGTCTGATAAAGCAGTTGAGTTATTAAAAACTTTTTTTCATACAGGCAATGTATGTAAAAGTGAACAATATACACCTAAAGAGATGCTTGAGGAATTGAAAAAAAAACATGGAAATAGGTGAATTGGAAGTAATTGACATGCCAAAATTAAGTACAATTGAAAATTGGATTAGTAGGTATTCCAGACAGCACAAGGTAGCAATTGTTAAAAAAACGAATAAAATAACTAAATAAATAGTTTTTATTACTTTCCTCAAGTAAATCATAATAAGTGAATTTATTTTAATAATATGTTTTGAGCTGATTTTGAGTTTGTGCTTTAACAAGAAAAAAAATTATTATACTAATTTTTTTATTATGCATGAGTGTGGTACTTGATAATAAGGTTTTGTGTCAGCAGGAGATAAAGTTACGTGATAAAAATTATTTTATTATTATTTATTATTATATATATATAAAATTGAAAAATTTGCCCCGATCTGCATTATGTAATTTCTTTCCGTTTCTGGCGAATTGCGAAATAAAATGGGATATTATAAAACTGATAATTATAATCACATTACAAATGACTAAATTTTGATCCCTGCAATTCTGGCAATACCAAATGTTCACTTTGTCTGGTTTTGTTGCAGTATGCCCCATATAATAATGCTTATGGTTAATGGAAATTTGAACAAATTGCAGAAAATGGGGTTTCCAATTATTATAAAGAATATTCTCAATATACCAACTAGCAATCTCTAATTGATTATTATATTATGACTTCTAATCAAGAATAAATAAATGATGCTAATAAAGAAGGAGATAATTATAAGTCCCAAGCAGAAACCAATAATTCAAACAAATGAAAACGACTTATTGGAGGCTGTCTAATTAGTTATTTTATTGAATACAGATTAAGAAAACAAAATAATAAAGCAGACGAACTAAATGTGTATATTGGTATTAAATGTTGTTGTTATTATTAATCATTAATTTTCAATGTTTATTATTATTATTTATTTTGCAATTTTGGGGCCCCGCCCCTTTCCCCATTAATTCTAATCAATAAATTTCTTTCAAATTATTCAAAATCAATCAACTAATGGACTTTTATGAAGAATATTTAGAGCCAAGCTTTAGGTCTGAAAACTTGACTGTAAATCGTTTAAAGGAGATCCTAAGACGGCATAATGTCAATTTCCGGCCAACCAGCAAGAAAGCAGAGCTTTTACAGCTATTTGAAGAAAAAATTCGAAATAATTTTGAAAATCCACAAATTTTGACAGAAGACTGGGTTAATATATTGCATTTTAAAGTTGATATCTCGGTTATAAATTTCTTATTATTTATATTATCAAATTCTAGGCCGTTAGACGAGGAAACCAAACGCCTGATAATAATGCGAGATCGCGTCCGACACGTCAAGTTTTTAATAACAGGTTACAACAACACTCACCAAAAACAGTTGCCAGGACTTCATTAGAGAATCATTTTATTTTGCAATCATCAAGCATTGGTGATGATGATGGTGACGAAACAATCGTATCAAATTTATCTTATCAAGAACAAATACCGTCGAAAAAAATCAATGATTCATCTATAACTAATGAATCATCACCACCACCATCATTTATCAAGGTGAATGAACAATCTACTACAATAATTCAGGAAGATTCACTGCCATTATCACCACCACCAATTCATGGTAATGAACCACCATTATCATTTTCGATTCCTCCAGACACACCAACTACTGCTTCTTCATCGTCACAAGTTATCAACAGAAATATATTTAGCGAGTCACGTTATGATATTCCCAAATATTGTTGGTTTGGAACCGAAATTAATAAAAACCACTACAACAAACGAACAAATCGGATACCGAGTCGCAAAGTATTACGTGAATCAGAAAGAGCTCAAAGAAATAAAGTAATCAAAAACATTTTCTTGGTCATTTTCATGATGCTATTAATTTATCATAGAATTAAAAATTATGCAGGATATTGTGATAATATTAGTAATGACGATGGTTATGATAAGAATGGTAATGATAAGTTTTATGTTTTGAAAAAAAGAAAATATGATTTTTGATTTCATAATTAACTTGTTGTTAATTTGATAGATTTTTTAAAAAATCATGCCTGCACACCATGTCCTGATTCATCGAATTGTATTCATGGTAAAATAGAATCATGTGCAGATGGTTATCGACTTTTGAAATCAGATTTTTCTATTTATGATATGACATCAACTTACTGTGAAGCTGAGATGGGAGTCGAAGAAAAAATCAAATATTATTCTGAAGCACTTAAAAAAGCTGCCGTTCTTCAACATGAAAACCTAGTATGTAATAATGAAAGTGGAGAAACAACAAGCTTGAAAAATCTTAAATCCAAGATTAAGGTAATAATGGTATGTATGATATATTTTTATTATTTAACAAGTTTTTTTAAAAAAGAAATTCCTTCGTCATAATTATATTTGCTTATTTTGATAATATCAATAATGTAGTATAAAGATTCTGATGAGGAACCCGAAAAACTTGTTGAATGTGGGTTTGAAGAATTGAATAGTGATCCTGATCTCAAGATTGAATCTACAAACAAACCTCATAATCAAGCAGTGATAATTCTTTTTCCCTAAAAATGTTAACTTCTACAGAAAATTTTTCAATTAACAATATTTTTTAATCAATACTTTTGTTTTATAAATAAAAATGGTATCAGTATTTTTGATTTTTACATTACCATATATATTTAATTGGCTCTATTTCCATTGCTTATATGATTTGGCCTGAACGGTAATTTCGCCAGCATGGCGTGGAAGTCGGAAAATGGTACTCCGTCATATAATGGAAAACAGCCTCGTTATTTTCATGGAGTACTAGTCATAAATGAAAAAGTTCCCTTGATTTTAATAGCAAAATTTCTACACAACTATTAAAGTAGACATGTCAATCGCGTGAAATGTCGTCTGATGATTTTTCCTTTTTGAAATGTGGGACATGTGGCGTAGCATCATTATTTCTTCCATAATGTTTATAATAGTTTCTCCTTTTCTTTCCGCGTGTTCATTCTTTTTTAAATATCCTTTCTCTATCATCATTATTATAAATATAATAAATATAAAACGTGTCGGCGATAGTTTTTCATGGTTAATTACTTCACGAAATAAATCTTTAACAATTGGAAGTAAAGTTCTATTTGCTAATTAGTGAAAGAAGTATAATATAATTAGATAGAATACATGGTTGAAGAGTCAAAAAAAAAATTTTTTTTAAATTTATTGTTGAAACCAAATTTTTTCACCTTTCAACTTTCTTTTAACTTTGTATATGTGTGATATGGGTACATGGTGTATATATGCATCGGAAAAATAAAGTTTTTTTATTCGAATTTTCTACTTTGCAATCAATGTGCGATTATACATTATGTCTTTTAATACAAAACAATTATTTAGCACTAGCAAATTAAGTTCCTCCGCCAGCATTGACATATTCCGATTTTAATCGTAACTCTACTGTTCTTTGTTCTGGAATTTCTCGGGGTTTTAAGATATTAATTTGCCATTCATGCATGACTTCCCGAGCTTTCAATAATATTATCAAAGATTTATTATTTGGTTATCGATACTTTGATATAACCTGCTTCTATGAAATATGTTATTTCGTTAATTGGTAATTATTATGGAGATGGTGATGAAAAAATCGAATGTCTTTTTGCAACTAAAAGATTGTATGATACATTATCATTTATTCGACCCGATGAAACTCCACAACAATGTGCTATCCGTGTGAGAGTTCCTTTAGAAGAGCTGGTCTCTGAGAGAAAATGAAGAGTTTACCATGAACATTGTTTATTTGGTGCATTCGGAAATTTTAAGCTAGTCGATTTTGACTACAGTCAAACCTCGTTTCAACGGATCTATGGGACTGACCATCTAAATCCGTTGAAACGAAAAATCCGTTGAAACGA